GAGCCAAATTTGGCCCGCGGGCCAGAGTTTGACACCTATGCAGTAAATGGTGAAATAAACGCTTTAGTTTTTAACACACTGATGGCTTTTCTTGTTTTCAAATTTTCGAGTGTGTGCAACTTTAGGATCACAGCCTTCATACGGATTGCTCTGTTGCCAGTCATTTGCTTCGTTCTTGCAGTTTTTTCTCCCCTTTATCTGTCTGCGTCCTCTAATTGGACTCTGTCAGCTAAATAGCTGCTCTCAGCTTTAATGTTAAGATAAAAATGTTTGTCTGCTACAAGTGCAGACCTCAGTCCATTTCCTGGCTGATGTCACTCAACAGCAGCTGGCAATACTCTGAAGGAAACCTCGATCAATGATGGCAGAGTCATCAGTGCTATAAATAAGTCAAAACTGATTTAAACACAACCAACTAGCTCTATTAAAAAAGGAATTTGTGTGTCCACTCTTTCTACGTTTGCCTCATTGTCCTTGAAGAGTGAAGGCGTAGAGGTGTGTTTGATGTGTCACATCAACTACAAAAATGTCCACGAGAAGTTTATAATTCCTGTTTCCATTGTCTGCCTCACACGACGCAGCGACGTCACTGGGATCAAACCTGTTGAGCCAGCTTGTAGTTTGAGTTTAATAAGCATCTAGGATACCATTGTCACCAAGAGCACCAGTAAGTCTGAGGAACAGGAGTCAGCAGTCACTGTGTGATTCAAACACTGACTGTAGATGCTGGCATCTTGGATATGCCTGTGTCTTTATCTATCTGGGTCAACGTTTCCAGTCTTAAAAAAGAAAAACAATATTATACCCGAGTTATTGTCCATCAAGAAAACAATAAGACCTTTCAGTATTAACATTTAATATGTGGTCTTTGTACTGTTTTCTGTGTTCTCTAGTGTTATTGTTTTACATAAACTTGCATGGCAGGTTTTACTGACAACACAAGTGAAACACATTCTGAACCCAGAGGTCACAGTGTGCATCACCTTAGCTTATCAGAATAACCTGTAAATCACATCCTCATATTTTTTTTACATTTAAGTTTTTATTGATTTTGCAAGTTTTTTGAAAACATATACTTAAACCTGTATGGGGGGGGGAACCAAGAAAACTGCTGGTGTGCATCCCTCTCCTTAAAAATCTAAGAAAGGAAAGAGAAGCTAACTCACAGTAGGTTCTGAAAGAAGAAACACAGAAACGGGCAACTAAAAATGACAGTAAAGTAACATATTGGCTGGTAGTCACAGTTAATAATCCTTCAGATTATGGTATTATGGTCGTGATTTCCTGTGTGCTTCAGATAGCTCCAAAAGTAGTCCCAAATTTTATCTTTGTCTTCTGCATCATTTTTAAGTTAATTCAGCATGGACTCATAGGAAGCAGTCTCTGCCATTGCTCTGATCCAGTCTTTCAGCTCAGGAAGTCCTGTAGTCTTCCAGTGCCTGAGGATAA